CGGTTCTCACTGCAATGGGCATTGACGCACATAAAGAGACAGTATCTGCTCTCGAGTTTTAGCAATTTAATTTAATTTAATTTAATGCGATCGCGCGATTACCGCGGGCTCGCGGATGCTGCGATCTCGCGGCTTCTCGCGATCTCGCGGTTTTCCGAATCTTACGGATCTCTCGCGGACTTGCGGTTCTTACTGCAATGAGCATTGACGCACACGAAGGGAGAGTATCCTTTCTGGAGTTTGTAGCAATTTAAATTTAGTATTTGTCCTCGAGTTTTTAGCAAATTAATTTAGCAAATTAATTTAATTTAATTTAATGCGATCGCGCGATTACCGCGGGCTCGCGGATGCTGTGATCTCGCGGCTTCTCGCGATCCCGTGGACCGCGCGACCTCACGATTTTCTAAATCTGAACAAATCTTGCGCGGATTGGCGGTCCTCATGGCGATAAACGGCGGAAATCATCGAGAGGTGTTATTTGCAGTTGACAAAATTGGGACCGCAACAGATGGGGTGTTAGGGAGCTGAAGGATAAATGACAAAATATACAACGGCGAGAACCGGAAGAAAAAGGGAGGACTGCAAACGGTAAAATGCGATAGGAAAGGTGAGGCACAAGGGGACTAGGTAAAGAAAGCAGGCGAAGTCATAAACATATAAACATATAAACATATAAACATAAATGTATAAACATATAAACCTTAAAACGTGCATACGCAGTATAAACACATTAACGTACAAATGGAATAGGACAGCTTAGGAAGATAAAGCAACATGTGGCAGGCAGGTGACTGACAGGCAAGAAGCAACAAGCTTGAAACAATAAGGAATCAGCGAGCAGGGAACGGCAGGCGCACAGATGGCAAACCTTGCTTTAGTAGCCAATAAAACAGTAAACACCGAGGCTGGACAGACCTAAAACATGGGTAACCGTTAGGTGACCTACCGAGAAGAAAGGAAAGCGGAATAGAATAGCGAGCAGAAGGACTGAACGACAGATACTATATACTATAGACAGTCAAGGCAGGTAGGGATCGGAAGAAAGGAGGTAAGTCGACAGAGCGAAACAAGGAAATAGGAACGCACGCAGGAAATTCGAGGAGGCAGGGCCAACAGGGCGCCATTGCAAACAAGGAAAGCAGGGAGGAGCGAACATGGCGCAAACCGAGAACCCAACCAATGAGGAAAGGTAGAGAGGGCTAACAGCATGCGGTTGGAAGGCAGCGAAGACGGGAGCCTCCGAGAACCCAGCAGGAGGGGCGTACAAAACAACCAAAACCACCTCAGGAAATGGCGGATGAGGAAACAGAGGAGATGAAACAAGGAAGCATTGCGGCAAGTGGGAAGTAAATATAAATCAGGAACTCAAGACAAGGCCGGAAGCAAAATCCGTGGAAGAAATTGCAAATTTGCGATCTGCAAACTTGCAATAGCGGAAGGCGGACAGGAAACAGGGGAAGAAATTACAGGAAACTGACACCTGTGGCAAGCAGCATATAACCAAGCCAAATCAAACTCAAACCAACCAACGCAACGCAACAATACGCCAAACGCAGAATGCCATTATTCCACAAAACTCAAATTTCCAAATTTCCAAATTTCCAAATTTCCAAATTCTTAATTTTCAAATGCCGTAGCCTATGAATACGACTTTTAAATTATAAAAAAAAAAAAAAATTTTTTAAACTTTCAACTCTTTGATATACAATCCACAATACTCATACTCAACTTCATTAATTCATTAATTCATTAAATTCATTAAATTCATTAAATTCATCAAATTCATTAAATTCATCAAATTTATTAAATTCATTAAATTACAGCCTCTTACAAGCTACATATGGTTGCAATAGTAATCCTAGCTAACCAGACAAACAAATAATGCGGCATGACAAAACACAAAATACAAGATACAAACATATATATCTTTATATTCTTTTATATTTATATAGCAGGATTATAGTATTATATTACTATATTAGTATATTACTATATTATTGTGTAATGTGTCATGATGTGATACGGCATAGTCATTAATCTAGCTGGCTATGTTGATGGAAAAACGGCGAAAGGAAATGCAGAGACAGGAAAGGTAGGAAAATCAGAGCAAGGAAAGGAAGATAGGACAAGGCAAGGGTAGGAGAAAGAGGGAAGCAAAGGAAGGGCGAGGAGTGGAAATGACTAGGCAAGGTTACAAGGAAAGGTAAAAAAGGTGCAGGGACAGTCGAGAATAGGTAGAGACAGTGGTAAGAAGTGCGAGAACGTCAGTGAAAAGTGAACATAGCGAGTAGAAGATAAATTGAAAATAGCAGTGAGATAAAATAGGAGAAGGTAAGTGTATTACAAACAACTGTTAAATATTAGCAGGAACACTATATAAAATAGAGACACATAAGGCAAGGTGACAACAAGACAAGTTAAGCAGCTAATAAATAAAAATAACCAAGTTAATTTAGAACTATTAAGAGGACTGAGAAAGCAAACAAAGATTAAAATTTCAATTCCGGGCCTAACCCAGACTAGGAGTATACATTATAAAATCACGGACACAGAAACTTATACAAATTAATACGTAGGCTTATACTTATGCTTAGGGTCGCACTTGCACTTATACTTACATGCTTGCACTTTACCTAGTTTTTACCAATTTATTTTTATCTACCTCAACCTCTAGTCTTCCATGACGTTTACGGTAATTTAATTAATTTAATTGGATTAATTAAGTTAATCTAAATCGAATTAATGAAATTAATTAAATTACATCATACATATAGATTCTCTACCTTTTCTTTCTTCATTCCGACATTCCTTCTTACTGTCTGACATTCCTTCTTTCTGCTATGCTACGATAATATTTGTACTCATACGCTTCCGCGCCCTCTCTCTCTCCCTATTATAAAAGGAGGGGTAATCGCGGTCGCGAGTTCAGTACGTAAATAGAAGCGAGCGAGTAAACGTCAACAGTCTTTTTGTGAACTTATATTCTTTAAATACATTTAAATCTCTCTTTAAAATACACTCTTTCAGTCTTCCAACCCTTACAAACGAATAACGAGTAGCTTCGTTCGTGCAGACCGGCAAATTTTCATTTCGGGCAGACAATTTGAATTCGAGATTTCTCTATCGAACAAATTCCCCGAACACATAGTGAGTAGAAGATAAATTGGAAATAGCAGTGAGATAAAATAGGAGGAGGTAAGTGCATTAGAAACAACTATTAAATATTAGCAGGAACACTATATAAAATAGAGACACATAAGGCAAGGTGACGACAAGACAAGTTAAGCAGCTAATAAATAAAATAACCAAATTAATTTAGAACTATTAAGAGGACTGAGGAAACAAACGAAGATTAAAATTCAAATTCCAATTCCGGGCTTAACCCAGACTAGGAGTATACATTATAAAATCACGGACACAGAAATTTATACAAATTATACAAATTAATACGTAGGCTTATACTTATGCTTAGGGTCGCACTTGCACTTATACTTACATGTTTGCACTTATCTAGTTTTTACCAATTTATTTTATCTACCTCAACCTCTAGTCTTCCATGGCGCTTACCGTAATTTAATTAATTTAATTGGATTAATAAAGTTAATCTAAGTCGAATTAATTAAATTAATTAAACCACATTACACATATAGATTCTCTATCTTTTCTTTCTTCATTTCGACATTCCTTCTTTCTGGCTGACATTCCTTCTCTTTTTGCTAGGCTACGATAATATTTGTACTTATACGCTTCTGCGCCCTCTCTCTCTCCTCTTTTGCAGCCGAAATGGAAATGTTTGCCAAAATCAAAGGGTCCAAAACACCGGGCAGAAACGTGGCAGATATGATGGAGAGGATCCGTGAACAGATAAACGGAAGATTAGAGGACAGCGAGCGGGCTCGAAAGGAGAGAGACGAAGAAGAAAAGAAGCATAGCGGAGCCAAGGGAAAGGGGAAAAAGAGGACAAGACAAGAGGACCAGGGCAAAGGAAATAAGGGAAAGGCGAAAGAACGAAGGATCTGGGAAGATGAGGATGAAGAGGATTTAAACAAGACACTAATGGAGGCAGCAGAGGCGGTAGAGGAAGCGGAGGCGTCGATGAGCGAGCTTGAACAGGTTTTTAGGTGGGAGGATGAAAGCTCGCAGGATCTGCCACGTCCAAACAGCAGCTCCACGCCGACACCAGGGGGAGAAGCTACCAAGGAGGCTGGAGGAAAGAGCAGCAAAGGCAGAGACGGAGGCGTCGATGAGCGAGCTTGATCAGGTTTTCAGGTGGGAGGAAGAAAGTTCGCAGGATCTGCCACGTCCAAGCAGCAGCTCCACGCCGACACCAGGGGGAGAAGCTACCAAAGAGGCTGGAGGAAAGAGCAGCAAAGGCAGAGACAAGGAGGAGAGCGCAGCAGGAGGCAGAAAGAGGAGCAACATGCTAATGGCAACGGAGGAAGAGAGACCTGAGCAGGAAACAGGAAAAGTCAAAATAAGGCAGGTCGAAGTATTACAGCCGGTAGTCAAGATCATGCGGCTAAAAACTGATGAAACTAGGGGCAGTGAGATGGAAGCGGTAGGCAAGGGAAAAGAAGAAACAGGGACGGGAGCGAAACAGGAGGAAGAGCAAAAGCTCATAAGAATGATTACGGAAATGAGGGCCAACTTCGAAAAGGACAAAGGGGCCAGGGGTAAACGGAGCGAGGAGAAACGGGGCGATGATAACGAAAATAGAAAACGGGACGAAGACTGGGGAACCAGAGAGGGGAAGAAGCAGAAGGAAGGAGGAATGGGATGTGAAGAAGGAAAGGGGGACAAGAAGGGAAGGAAAGGGGGGAACAGAGGAGAAGAGGTGATACTCATTAAATATCCCAGGGAAGATATAGGATACTGGGGAGCGGTCAAATGGCTGAAGACGGTGGTAGGCGAGTATTCAGAAAATTTTCAGGAGATAAGGGATACAAGGAAAGGGGACATTCTGATAGCGATTAAAAACGGTAAGGGGGGGGGGAAGTAGCAGGGAATGCTCAAACAAAATTAATAGGGAAGGCGAGGGAAGGTGGTACGCACGGGTTCATTCGGACACCGTCGAGATTGCTGTCAGAATAACAGACCCGGACTTGGATAAGGAAGAGTTGCTGAGAGCTTACGGAGAGAGCAGACTAGGGGAATTTGTTGGAAACGGTGACATCAGATTGAGATGTATTAAGGGGCCGGAGGGCACGTGTCACAGGATTGCCTATCTAGATTGCACAAGAGAAGCTTCCAAGGAGATGGTGCAGGAGAAAGAAATTCGTACCAAATGGCAGGAGTTAAGGCCCTTCTTTCCAAGGAGGAAGTCTGATTTTGAAGGCGAGGACAGGAGCAAGAAAAAGGACGAAAAGGGCAACACGGGAGCGAAGAAGGAAGCGAGGAAGGAAGATAAGGAAGCGACAGAAATAGAGCGGTGGGCCAAACCTGGCACGAGCAAAGAGCCATGGTAGGAGGCGGCTTCATCACGCAGTAGGATAAATAAACAAACAGCGGCGTGAAATTAGAATTTAGCAACATATACAGGGTGTCCCGCAATTAGTGTAGGACCCGAAAAAGGGTGGTAGGCGGGGCGATTCTGAACAACTTTTTCCTTTGCCAAAATATTGGTTGAGGCTCCATTTTCAAGTTATTAGCAAAAAACACTGACCAATGAGAGCGTAAACGACAACTTCGAATATAACGGCCGATCGTCGTCGTGAACAAACGTATCGATACCGTCGGTATAA